AGCTGTGGAGTATACATCCTCAGAAACAGCTGGAGATGGCCAACTGGTCCCTATGGAAGCAGCATCAGCTGTGGAGTATACATCCTCAGAAACAGCTGGAGATGGCCAACGAGTCCTAATAGGGGAGGAAGCAGCTGTGGAGTATACATCCTCAGAAACAGCTGGAGATGGCCAACTGGTCCCAATAGAGGAGGAAGCTGTGGAGTATATATCCTCTGAAACATCTTGCCAGTGGTTGCCCTGTGCACTACTGGGTGACCCACTGGAGTCCATAGACCAAGAGGTAGACAGCTGCTTAAGTATAGCAGAGGTCATGCTGGTTGCATTAACTACAACATCAGATTCTGTGCTAAACACATGAAGAATTGACTCAGTTGTGGACTCTGATCTAGGTGCAACTGTCTGTTCTGCTGATATCAATTTATAAGCACTAGACTCAGCACCTTCTGAAGAGATGGTGCTCAACTCCATTTCGTCAGAAGGGAGCGCACTGTCAAGAACAGAGGAGCTTGGTAAATCTTGTACTCTAGGTAATGAAGATCCCATATACCAGAATGGAGACTGGGTTGAAAATGCAATCGTAGGAGTCAGCCTTCCATGCCAAGCTGGTTTCTCGTCTCCACTGGAGAGTTCAGTTGTTGAACCAATTGAAGACTTGGATAGGAGAGGTTTTGTAGAGACCAGATTAAGATGCTTGGCCTGTGTGTTCCTGGCATATGTGTGACTTGATGCTATCATTTCTGTTGGCTGCACAGTTACCAAGTTAAGCAAGTGTTTGCTAGAGGTGGAAGTTTCTTCAGATACAGATTCCATTCCTTCACTTTGCAAAGCATTACCAGTTTCACGGTTGTCAATGCTTAAACCCACAGTAGCAGTTAGAGATTGATCAGTATGCAGCAATTCCTGTTTCCCATTATCCATCACTGTAGATTTAGTTGAAAGTTCATGCACAGAATGACTTCTGGAAAGCAACTTCAGGTCCTCTGAAGTATTTACTGATATCAATCGATCCAGGATGTCCTCATCCACTGGTGCTCCAAGGAGACCACCTGAAGAGTAGCAGGGAGAAAGAAAGACTGCAATAATAATTCAAACAGAATTTGATCTGAATATTTTGAGACAGTTACAGGTCAAGTGAATGATACTTAAATGAAAGCTTGAACACTCATGTTGAGGCTACAAACTGGGTAAAATAAGAGGCTAGCTAGATCCCCGATTTTGTCCTTACCCTCAAAGCTGACCAAGGACCAGTATATTGTAAGCAGAACAACAACTGTAGATGTGCTACTTAGCAACATCTATGTATGACTTAAGGATGACACTCCACTATGCCAGTCTCAAAGGATACCAAGGGGGGTGGGGGGGAAAAAAAGTGGTGATTGGATAAGGATGGGACTGGTAACAAAGCTAAGGAATAAAGAAAGATTCCACAAAAGCAAAATATTGCATGGGACAGAAATCCTCAACAGGTCAGGCAATGGAGTGGAGAATAGACTAAAAATCTTCTGGCAATGTCAGATTTTTAAGTGTTTATGGGATATGGGAGTCACCAGCATTGCCTACTTGTCTGTCCTGAAGGGAATGGAAAAAGGCAGAGGTGGATGGAGAGGGGTTGCCATGATTATAGGTAGGAGAATTTGAAAACAGATGAAATAAGCTCATTGCAGAGGGGACTGATGACTTAGATGGGGCATGCAAACAGGTCGTGGATGAAGGAGCCAAAGTCTTGTCTTCCAGTTAGTTATGGTCATGTAAGTATCAATGGGGGTCATGGATGGCAAGTGAATGATGTTCAGGAGATTGCCAAACTCCAAGCAATGTCCTTATCCTCAATGATCCACTCACAAAGTGGTGAGAAGGTCAATTAGTCCCAAGTTGGTGCAATAATTAGCATTGAAGTGCATTTCTTAGTAACAAAAAAGGTGAAAGGCATAAGACAAATGCTGGCTTAATGAGTAATATCAAGCCTGGAACAGCAATAAGAAAGTAGCAAGATAAAAAAATGTAGAAGGTTGGGGTAAGGGGAAAAAGAAAAGAGCAACGAGGGGTAGCAGGAAGAGAACACAAAAGTTAATAAAATTTAGAATTGCAACCATGTCAATGGGTAGGGGTGCAACTCATGTATGCACAAGATTGAGATAAGCTTCATTAGTAACACAATATGCTGTAGATATGGAAGAATCATGGCAGATGACTGAAGTACGAAAGAAGTTAACAGATTTCTTGTGTGCTAACTTTTTAAGAAGGAGTCATGAAGACTGAGTGAGACCCAAAATCATTTAATGCACAAGCCGTCACTGGTGATCTGCCTCCAGCAATAAGAGGCAGCATAGAGAATCAGCAACCAGCCAGGATTACTTCTTTGCTGAGACTGACTTGTCTTCTGAATTAGTAACATATCCCAACAGATCAGGGATACCGGGATGAAATGGAGTTAGCAACACAGCAGGCTGGTAGAAATTGGAGTGGGTAATATTAGAGAGTTAATGGTACCAGCTGAACAGGTCAGAAGAGTAGCTAGTTTTAGTATTGCTCAGCACTACACATGCATCAAGTAGTAGACAAATACAGTCTAGTTTGTTAAACAATTAGATATCAGTTCCTGCAGATTATAATTTACAGCCACTTCCTGTTGTAGTTTAATATATTCTCCAGACACATTGCATGCATAGTATCTTCCCAATATGGTCACTGCATTTATTTTATCCCAAGCCATTCCATTCACATTATGACATCCAACCAATGTCTCAACCCACATTGGCTGTCTGAATGTTGAGGAAAGTTGAGAGCGCAAAAGAAAGAGTGGGGGCTGTTCTACTAATACCATATTGGAACACACTACCCTATTACAACCAAGCAAAGCAGATCAAGAAAAAAAAGGTACTCTAAACAACCCAAGACATGGCACAATGGAGACACTAAAAATACTCATCCAAAAAAGGTTTGTACATTTTGCAACTGGGTTAGAAAAGCTGAGGATCACACCTTTTTCCACCACATCTGAGAAAACCCATCATATGACAAAACATTTTAACCACTGTCTTGTCTGTAATCATCTCAGTTGCAGGTTCAGAGGCATACAGTCTACCTCAATTCACAGGCTTGCAAGGAAGTGGTGAGGAAGGGATAACAAGGTGTGGAGCTGGATGAACACAGCAGGCCAAGCAGCATCAGAGGAGCAGCAAAGATAACATTTCAGGCCTAGACCCTTCTTCAGAAAAGGCATTAGTTAGGAGGTGGACAATATCTAGAAACTTCACTATGGCTGCAGTTTCTTTGCATATTTAACCCTTCTAAACAAGCCAATCTCTCCCAAAAACCTGTTCTAATAAAGTGGATGATGCAATGTCAATCATTTAAGCAAATACAGGGAGTGACAATGCACCATTACAAAAATCAGTGGGAGAACATCCTTGGTTTAGACTAATTGCTTGCTCCTAATTTTAGGTAGCATGTAAAACACTGGAATTACTGAAAATATTTCCTAGTCCCATACCTAGAGAGCAAGCAGGTAGTCTTGGGAAATTTTAACACTTCTAAACCCAAGCCTAGAATAAGAGGGACTTGATTAAACAAGATCCCCAGCAGTCTTGCCAAACTATTGACTAAAATCATCCATTTGAGGGAAATAATCTCTTTACACCACTGCCTGCCTATCAAGAGGGAGGGTCATTGATCTGTTCCTCAAAAAAAAAAGGGGACAGGAAACAGTTCTTGAACATTTAAATCAGAATTGGATTGATTTTTGCTAAGCTGGGCAGGTGGTAAAAATAAAGGTGCAAAGTATGTAGAGTGATGAGGTCCGTAAGGCATCATGTTCAGTGGCAGACTTGAAAGGCCAAGTGGTGTGCTCCCAATTTATGTTTGTATCCCTTTGGCAGAACAATCCTTATTCTGATCTGTCCATCACAGGTATTCTTGTAAAGTAGGATCAATTTAAAGTAATCTTGATACAGGTAACACCATATTACAGAGTTCTGCTTGATAGACCCAAGTACTCCCGATTTCCTTATCTGTTAGTTGTGCCTCATTTATCTAAAGATGCCTTTCAAAGGAAAGGTGATTGTTTAAAAATAAAGAAATTTGCCAGCTATAAACACTTGGCATCATCTTGCAGTCAAAGAATATTCCAAATTATTTACCAATGTAGTACCTTTAAAGTTTAACCTGTCAGTCAATGTTGAAGTAGCAGCTATATTTAATCAGTGATAGCAAGAACTACAGATGCTGGAGTCAACAGTATCCACCGCTCCTGACGTGGTCTCACTGATGTAGAGGAGGCTAAGTGTAGATTTGGAGACCATCTGCACTCTGTACACAACAAATGACAACACCTTCCAGTCATCAATTTTAATTCCAACTCTCACCCCCAACCCCCAACTCTCTGGGTGAGATGTCCATCCTGAACCTCCTCCAATGTCACAATGACACCACCCACAAACTGGATAAGCAACACCTAATGTTCCACCACAGGAGCCTACAGCCCGATGGCCTAAAAGTGAATTTCACCAGTTTTAAAGTCTCCCCACCCCCTGGCCTCAACACATGTCTAACCTGCCCTCTCATCCCCACATCCTTGACCTGACACAGCCTGTCCATCTTCTCTCCCACCTATCCACCCCTCTGATCTCACTGGCTAATCCCCCCACTCCCTACCTCCACTTATCCATCACCATCCCACCTATCTTCCCCCAACTCCACCCCACCTCTTCATTTCTGAACTCCTTTCCCCTCCATTTCCCAGGGTTCTGACCCAAATGTCAACTTTCCTCTTCTGCTAATGCTGCCTGGCCTGCTGTGTTCCTCCAGCTCCACACTGTTGTCTATATTTAGATCAGTGCTTTCTCACTGCTGCACTGTTGAGGTCCCATGCTTCAAATAAGATGACATCATTTAGATAGGCATAAAAATCCCATGGCACAGTTTCAGGAAGGAGGACATGCCCCAGTGTCCTGGAAAATATCTTCCCCTCAAACTACATTGAAAAGCAGTCAGGTTATTGCGTGGTTTATAGGAGTTTGTGCTTATTCCCCCATAATAGATGGCATTTCAGAAAGTCATGGGGATGTACAGGGGCCACATTAGTGAAATCAAGGCTCTCAGTTAAGTCCTGAAAACAGCAAAATTACCCAGTCTGGAGTAGGTCTAGTTTAGATTAGAGTTGGAGTAATGGAATCATAGTCAGCACAGAAACAGACCCTTTCGTCCAACCAGTTCATATCAACCATGTTTCCAAACTAAACTAGCCCCACCTCCCTTCTCCTGACCCATATCCTTCCAAACTTCCTATTCATGAAGTTGTGCAAGTGTCTTTTAAATATTTAGCTGTACCCACATCCATCAGTTCCTCTGGAAATTCATTCCACACAAACTGCTCAATTTGCCCGTTGTGCTTTTAAATCTCTCCTTAGAAATATGCCTCCCAATCTTTAAATCCCCCATCCTAGGGGGAAGACATCTGCCATTCACCTTATCTATGCCCTTTGATTTTTATGAAATCATTGGATCACAGCTTAACCTCACACCAAAAAAGTCCCAACCCTTCCCACCTCCTTACAACTCAAACCCTCCAGTCCCAGCAACATCCTGCTAAATTTCTTCCAAACCCTATGAGCATAGGCCAGAAAAAGTAACCAGTCCATAGATGCTGACTGACCTGCTGAACATCTCTAACACTGTTCTTATTTCAGATATTCAGCATCTGCTGTGATATTTGCTTTTTAGGTATTAGACAAGTGCTAAAAGATATCAGCCAACATTGAGAATTTCTGTATTTTGTTTTCTGAAGAAGGGTCTAGGCCCGAAACGTCAGCTTTCCTGCTCCTCTGATGCTGCTTGGCCTGCTGTGTTCATCAGCTCTACACCTGGTTATCTCAGATTCTCCAGCATCTGCAGTTCCTACTATCCAGAATTTCTTGCTGTTCATACAATGACTGTTTGTGATTACAAGAGGGTGGGGCAGGGTTTTTAAATTGAAAAATGCTGAATTCTAGAGACCACCAACAGTACAGCACACCACTGGAATCTTGTCCCAGATCAAGCATATTTTCACAGACTTGGAATACAAGCTGCTGCCTCAGGAACATCCAAGACATGCAGTTAATCCAATAGCATTAGTCCAAGGGCAACTAGGTACAGGTAATAAGTTACTGGCTAGCCAGCAACATCCATACCCCACCATTTAATAAAGAATAGAGTTGAATAAGTGCTTCATTGAAGCCTTCATTCTCAAGTTTGGAAAAAAAACAGCAACTCAGGTTAGTTAAGGGGCTTAGCTATGAAACATGAAAGGCAGATTGAACATTTGAAATGCTGGTTGTGCAGAAGCACAACCACCAACTGCACACATTTTTAGGAAATGCTTGTGAGCACAGCGTACCTCACTGGACATTATCTGGGATGCAAGTTAACTGGTTGATCTGTAATATTGCAGAGTCAATAAGTCATAAAATGCTTACCTATAGTCACAAGTATTATAAACAGATGAAAATACATTTTAGGATAATGCTGCCACTTCATGTTTGCTTTATTCAATTGTGCTTCAACCAATGAAAACCATTCCCAGGACACCTTTGAATAAAAAAGCAAAGAGTGATTTATTCAGAATGCTTCTCTCGAGAGTCTGATGAATAGAAGGACTTAGTAGACAGTGATGGTCCCATTTCTGGGACACTTCTAAACTAGGAATGACAAATACAAATACAAATACAAATACAAGCTAGGCATCACTAAAACTTATAACCCAGGAGAAATTTCCTTTCTAGCATGAGTAGGGTAAAATAGTTAACTGCACAACAGGAGACGACAATTGGGATTGATAGGTTGGAGGAGGATATTACAAAAGTGCATGAAGGGGAAAATCGAAAGTGATGGCCAAAAGGGTGAAGGGTACAAACAAGTATAAATTATCAGTATATGTCAGTTTGGCTAAACATTCTTGCAAGTGTTTAAATTTTTTGATGGTCACTATTTTGCTTTTAGATACTAGATAAGGGTAGTACTAGATATGGCAGCATGGTACCTCAGCAGTTAGCTTTGTGCCCCTCAGCACCTGGGGGCCCAGGTTCAATTCCACCCTCATGCAACTGTGCAGTTTGCATGTTCTTCCCATGTCTGTGTGGGTTTCCTCCCACAGTCCAAAGATGTGCAGGTTAGGCGGATTTGCCGTGTTAAATTGCCCCATAGTGTCCAGCGAAGTGCAGGTTAGGTGGGTTAGCCATGGGAAATGCAGGGATGGGGTGGGTCTGGGTAGGACCATCTTCAGAGAGTCAGTGCAGATTTGATAGGACCAAATGGCCTCTTTCTGCACTGCAGGGATTTTATGAAGTGACAGACTATACAGTATTATCCAAATTACATTACAAGTTTGAAACAGCAATACTGAACATTTTATACAGGAGTCACTGCTCAGAACATTTATCCAAATTAGTAAAAATCAGTGGTACATCCATGGATAGTCCACACTCGACAAAATGCCAAGCAAAAACCAACACTAGATGACCCCAGTAAATAATTGAGAAACTAGCTTATGATTCATTTGCAAGTACAAATCAAACAGTTATATCTCTTGTTACAAGGCAGCACTTTACATTTGGCCAGATAGTTGAAATTAGATCCTGGCAGACATTACTAGTTCCATCTGGGACCACCTGCTCTAAAAACACTTCCATTGAAAACACTTGGCCAGAAGCCCAAGATTAAAGCAACACAAACCTACAATTTGCAGTTCAGAGATTTAAATCATCAGTTACAACAGAAGGACCATGAAAGAGAATGTTACCACAATCACTCAAAAACTGCACTGTAAAGTTAACTCTTACTTAGTATCGATGCTATCTTTCAAGAGGTCTGAATGTTTAAGACCTGAACTGCATTGAGCAAAGTTACCTTCAAAAATTTTGAACATTCAATCTAAAATTTCCAACAGCTAGACTGGTAAGTCACTACATTTAAGAATTGCAATACCCTAATTACAAGGACAAGTATAACATTCTCCTGCCTCCTGGTTTGGTCCCATTTGCTTTGTTATATGCTTGGAGATGTTGCAGCCACAAAACTATTTACATTGTACTTTAAAAAGGATGACCAGGACCAAATCTATAACAGCAAAAGGACTGAAGATTAAAAACCAGCAATCAGCTCCATGCTTCAGTGAAAGCTCCTAAATTGAAATAGAGCCAGGCACATAAACAACATAGTGGTTATCATACCGAACTCAACCTCAGAAAAGTTGATAATTCTCACCTCCGAGTACCATAGAATCATAGAAGCCCTACAGTGTGGAAGCAGGCCATTCAGCCCATTGGCATGCACACCAATCCTCCAAAAAGCATCCCACTCCCCCTACCCTATCCCTGAATCTCCACGGCTAATCCACCTAGCTTGCTCATCCCTGGACACATAGGTGGATGGGCAATTTAGCCATTGCCAAACATGCACATCTTTGGTCTGTGGGAAGAAGCCCGAGCACCCAGAGGAAACCCAAGTAGACACAGACAACATCGTTGTGGATTTTACACAGTCAGCCAAGGGTGGAATCGAACCCGGGCCCCTGGTGCCAAGGGGCAGCAAAGCTAACCACAGCCACTGTACCGTCCAACTGATTGATTCTCAGTTTCCTTAACAAAGCTGAACCAAGGGTTAATATCATAAAAAATTCTAAATCTTTTAGATTGTTAAGATAACAAGTCTAACCAATGGGAAGGAAGCTACCAACATTTACATTGTTTGCCCAGCATGATCCAGGAAGCTTACCAAGATCGCTCACTCAGATAGTGGAGCAGGCTGTCTACATAGATATGGCCAATAATTGTCAGTGGCACAACTAACAAGTATCACAAATATTCAGCATTCTCAGCTTGTTGCATCAAGACAACTAGACTTTCAAATGCAACACTAGATTGAAGTGGAGTTTTAGTTTCATTTTGCACACCCACCTAGTTTGGTATGGAGCCCAAATACAAGGAAAATTCATTTTTCTCTCTCACCCTTGTTGCTGATCAACACAGCCTGCCCAAATGGGTTTGAACTTCCAAGTTACCTACCAATAAAACAGGCCAATAAAATTTAAGCTCTGGAGTCACTAAGGTTAAAAGCCAGTTTCTTGAATTTTGAATACCAAACCTTCAGAGAGACAACACTTGTGCACAAAAAGGTAACAATGTGTTTCCTCATGCAGTGGAAATATTCAAACCACCTTCAGCCATCAATCAATTACATATCCAACTAGTACAAGCAACCAAAAGCTGCCTGATCCTTGCTGGTTTACAAAGTTAAGAGACTCCTTGCACTCATTGGGAATACAACTGTCTTTCAGTACATAGAAACTATTACATCTGAACCTTATTTTGCTCTCAGAATCTCTTGGGCTATGTAATTATTCTTTGTATAGATACAGGAGTTGCAATATATTTAAAGTCAAGTATATAGCTTTTAGGGAGGTGTGGAAGAAGAGTTGATACAGCACCAAAATTTGGAACGTTGTTGCAAACTCAAACAAACGGTGAAGCTTACCAAAAAGGAAGCCAAAGGAAAATATCTGAAGCTGTCACTTATTCTAAAATTAGAGGGAGCAGGAACAGGAGATAACTGTAAAATAGGAAAACAATGTCAAGGGGAAAAAAAAATAAAAACACTTCCTTATTACAGTATAAAACTACGTAAAAAGGAGGACTGAACAAACTGACAACACTGTAGGAGACAAGCTTCTAAACAGCGACTAAGGGAGTTAGTTTGACAATGTTCGAGAGCTTAACACGCCATTGTGGGTTAACATTGCCCAGTCTGCAACTCTTACAGCACGATATAAAGAAGGGGAAAGAAAGAAACAACATATTTCTCCTTCAACTAAGGGCAAAGAGTCAACTGTTTAAAACAGAACCAAATGTTCGAAACTTTACCCAAACGTCATCAAAGTTTACATTCCAATTTCAACATCTCATTACTCGAGATAAGCTGACAGTCTACATTTAGACCATCATTTCAGAGCTAAAGGGACTCTTCTTCCAGAGAGTGAATGAATGGAAAACACAACTCCGTTTTATTTTCAAAACAAAAGCTAAGCTCTCAAACGGGATAAGAAATAGCGTTCAGAAACGTGCTCACCAATACAAGGAGATTAAAACAAAAGTCGCACCATACCCTACAATAGAGTCACCTACTTCCAGCTTCCCAATACAAATAGATAAAGAATTCTCTTAAACCCCCCGCCATTTATTGCTTTCTCCCATCAGCTGGTCTCAATTGATAATTAATCGATTCATTCTGTTCACCCCCTCCTATTGGTTATTACAGGGTGTAAGGTGTTGCTGTTGCTGGGCTAGTCTTTAGGAGAGTCTTCCTTTAAGTTCTGTGTTCCCTGTTCCCCCAACACTTTCTCAAACGTGTTTAAGGATTTCCATTTCATTAGCTGGTAGAACAATTGGGTCCTTCGCTTTAATAAATGGCGTGTTGAAGTCTGGGAATGGATTATGCAATTTATTTGACTCAATATGGTTTGTTCGACACAGAATTATTTTAAAATGCATCTTATATTTTGCTTCCGGCTCCATTTGTGATTTTTTTTTTAAAATCCCCCCACCCCCACCCCATGATCTTGTGTGCTTAATGTTGAAAAGGTAAGCTTAACAAATTTAGATAATGCTATAAAAGTTGGGTTCTGGCGTGCTAGGATAGAAATATGTTGTGTTTCTCTCTTTTCCACTTTCTTCTTTCGCGCCGTAAGAGTTGTAGACAAGGCTATGTTAACTCACAGTGGCGTGTATACCTATAAGAGACATGCCCATGAAGTCATCATTGTATCATAACATGTGACCTGAGTGTATGAAGGGCCTGGTCTTTAACTCGGGTCAATTGATGTATTGTTGTTAGTTAAAATAGGCTAGTGTTTGTAATCAAAGACTGTTAGAGCTTGTAATATATGGGCTCTATGATTTAAAAAATATTGAATCTTTCAAGGCACTTTACCTGTCTCAAATTCTTATCATGGGAGCAACCATAAGAATTGCTACATCAATTACAAATACTCCCTTCAAAGGCAAAGTCCATATCCAAGTGGTAATCATTCCTAGGTTATCATTAGAATGCTGACACAGACTAATAAGTGTGAGCCTCGTGGTGTTAACCCTACCTCTGGATCTGAATATTGGGGTTCAATATTGCAGATATGTTTGAACGGGTAGCTTTAAAATAATCTAGGTGAAGCAAGTGATTTGCAAGGCAAATGCTTATAGAGCCTGCAGCACGGAAACAGACCCTTTGGTCCAGCCAGTCCAGTATAATCCCAAACTAAACTAATTGTACCTGCCTGCTCCTGGCCCATATCCCTCCAAACCTTTCTTATTCATGTACTTATCCAAATGTCTTTTAAACATTGTAATTGTGCCCACATCCATCACCTCCTCAGGACGTTCATTCCACATGCAAACCATCATCTGTGTTAAAAAAAAAATTGCCCCTCATTTTTTTTTAAAAATCTCTCTCCTCTCCCCTTAAAAATGTGCCTCCTTGCCTTGAAATCCCCCATCCTAGGGAAAAAACAACTACCATTAACTCTATCTATACCCCTCATTATTTTATAAACTTCTATAAGGTTGCCTCTCAACCTCCTACACTCCAGTGGAAAAAATGTCCCAAACTTTCTTTATAACTCAAGCCTTTCATACCCAGTGGTGGGAGTGTAACAGGAATAAGGCTTCACTATGACGATATAGGGTGACAATGAGATTTACACCTACAGTACTGTGTCCAGTTATGGTCTCCTTGCCTATACTTGTTTTACAGGAAATGGAACAAAGGTTCACCAGATTCAGTCATGGGGTGAGGGGCCTTTCAGAGAAGGAGGTAGGCTTGTCTTATTCTATTTTCTGGATTTTCATTGAAATGTACGTTTTAAAAAAAGGAGAACTTGATAGGTCAGATTTTCGAGAGGAATATTCCCAAGATTGGAGTCGTAGTCTCAGGACAAGATATTGGCCATTTAGAACACTGGGGTATGTGACTCTTTGGAATTCTCTGCACCAGATGGTTTTGCCAACCCTCCAGGATTGCCCTTGAATCCCCAGGAATTATACATTAATCCCCTGGACGTTTCCACTAATCGCAATACACAAAGAAAACTAAAAATAGAGAAAAGCTGCGAGGACATTAAAATGAACATGTCTTGAATTTTTAAAATTAATTAAAAACATTTTGGAGATGCAAGGAGAGCAATGACGATGAGACATCATGTAAGGAAATATCCAGGAATACATCAAATCAAAGTTGGAAACCTTGTTGTGGGTGCATAGTTGGTGTGCATATTCAAGACTGAAACTCCTCTTTGACTTTGGGGCATGATGGACAATGAGGATAGGGTGGAAAAAGGAGTTGATGTAAACGTTCAGCAGTGATCTTGGGTTATATGATCTACGGCAGCTCCTATCTCGTGCGCTATCAAAATTATAGGGGGTATCATCAGCAAGGTGTATCACCCAAGAGAATTGATCTGGTGATTGATGAATGGGATTGCTAATTTAGTAAATCATCTGTACTAAAAACGCATGAAGCAGAGTAAAGGAGAAAGTGATCATCTAGCTTTTAGGATTCCTTAAGATATTTTTTTTAACCGATCACAATCATTTTGATTTCTCTTCTGGTCTCTCAACATTTCTATATTCCTTGTCTACTAAGAAACTTGAATATGTTCTCAATTACTGTTTCAATGACCAGCAATTGTGACCTGAAGAACTGTAAATCGCATCCATTCAGGGACGGAGTAATTTTAGTAGTCACATTGTGAGATCACTGGTGTCAAATTCCAATTACTCTTGAGACGCCCTTGCGAGTCATTGCGGCCTAGAGACTGGAACACCTTACAGAAACCCTGGGGACCTTAAGAAAACCCAGAGCTGTGCTTGACAAGGAGGACTATCAATTGAACAGAAGATGAAGCTCTATTTAAGTCAAATCTCTTTATTCATTTTGTAATCCAAAATGATGCTAGATTGTGGCAACAAAACACTTTTCATTGTATTTTCCCAAGATCGTTCCATTCTTATTGAATGGCAGAGAAAGCTTGAAGGGCTGAGTTGCCTGTTTCTACTCCTAATTCCCATGGAGTGTAAACTGCTCTTGCCATCAGAGGCAACCCTCTGAAGTAAATACAGTTTCAATGTGGAAAAAGTGTTTGTGAAGTTGTTATCTCATGGTTTCCTTCTAAGTTATTGCCGTATCTTCTGTTTGTTGTGTTCTAGTTCCTCAGAAAATGTCATCTTGTCACAACGTGTGGCACCTAGTGCTTTAACAGTTTTGAGAGATTGGATCAGTTCTCTGGTTTTACAATGAAAATGAATGCTACTGTTCCTTGCTTCAACACCTGCAACGAACCATTGTTCCCTCTCATTGAGCCCTTTGCACTGTCATTGCTGCTTTCAAAGAAACATAAGGCAAGATTTGAACAGGAGGATGTGCTGGAACTTGAAAATTTCAAAGCCCAATGAGAGTCTTAAATAGCCCACAGAAAACAGTTGAGACCAAAACATTGGGTAGAAGGAGTTAGATATAATTTTTCGGGTTAAGGGGATCGAGTTATGAGCAGAAAGCAGACATGGTATTGGGTTGGATGATCAGCCATGGTAATATTGAACAGCAAGAGCCCCTTGCCTATTTTCTATGTCCCTCTGTTTCAAAAGTACAAGATGTTGACTTCTAATTGTATTGTCAAGCAGCCAATATGTTCAAAACAAAAAGTCTTGAGCCTTGTAATTAAAATGTATCAATTGCTGAATTAATCAATTCCTCAGTTCTTGAAAATAGATGAATATTTGATTTGATTTATTATTGTCACATGTACCTAGGTACAGTGAAAAGTTTTGTTTTGCGTGCGGTACAGGCAGATCATACCATTCAAAGATCGTAGGGTGATAGAACAGAACGAGGAATACAATGTTACAGCTGCAAAGAAGGTGCACAAAATGCAAGATATTTAGAATTGAGGTTTAAAAGTGCAGAATGATTGAAAGAAATGTGGTAATAAGATCTGCTGTCGAGAACTCGCAAAGAGTTGCCCAGTTTTGGCGCCATCTTGAATCTTATGGAAATGATGCAAGGTCACTGAATAGAGAAATTCAACCACATTGTGTTGGATGCCAATATCTTTAATCCATGTTCATACCAAATGTCTAAAATTTGATATTCATGACTAGCCATCGTAATTGTTGGGTATTGTTCTGTTTTTCAGATATGTGGTTACTTTTATTCCCTGTGTGCTGGAGATTATAAAGAAGGAACTTACCATCTTGGCTGCCTTTTCTGTATTGGTAGGTAATAATCTGGAAGTGAATATTTGGAACACAAACATAGGTGAAAAAGATGAATTTAAGTAATCTGTTCTATGACCATTTGGTCCATTTTGCCTGAGCTGGCTCTTTGCAAGAACAGATCAGCTGTTTCTAATCTCTTTTTAATGAGATTCACATTTACTCACAGAATGGGATTTAGTAAACTAATCACTTTTTCAATGAAAATGGGTGAATTTTAATGAATGTTAGTAATGTCACTCTTGTCTAGGAAGGGGAAAAACAGGTCAGAAGTCACATTCTTAATGATTATCACCAATCCTTCCTAGAAGAGTTATAAGTGTGAATATGGCTTGTGGATAGGATTGAGTGCAAGACTGATGCCCCCCAAAGCCAACTATCCAACTAAAATTCACTGCTCAGACGAGTAACAAATAATAGATTGGATCAGGATCCTATGGCTTGTTAATGCCTGTGGTCCTGTAGACTAGGATGGGAGTGATGAACACGAGAAAACCAGGCAAGATTAAATCCAGACAAGATTCCTGTGTGTATCAATATTCCCATGATTGATCTTGATTGTAACTATTAACTATTAAATCAAATATTAATTCCATTGCATTTTCTCCTCTAATATTATGCATTGTAAGT